AGGATTTCGGGGGTATGTGTATTCACCAAAAATGATTGCAATGAACCCCTGCAACTAAATATAATTTTTTTAGTATGATTTGAAATTTTTTAATTTTGTCTAAACATTTCACATCTTCTCGAATTTTTTTCTCGAAAGTGGGTAGGATATTGGGGGTATGTGTATTGACGAAAAATGATTGCAATTGACTCCAGTAGCCAAAAATAATTTTTTCAGAATGATTTGAGACTTTTCAATTTTACCGAAAAATTTAGGGACTTCCCCCCTGTCGATTTTTCTTAAAAATTCGTTTTTAATTTTTAGTCATTTTGTTTCACGTCCTATAGAAAAGTTGTCTGATACTTTTTTGTAGGTACCTATGAGCTCTACTTCAGAAAAAAATTTCACTGAAATATATTCACTATTGTAGGAGTTATGGTCGTTTGAATATTGGACCGACTTTTTGGGGGTTTTTCTAACTTCACGGTGTTAAGGAGCAACTTTTCTAATATTTTTAGAATTTCTACATAATCTCCACCAAAATACGCGCCGTTTGCTTCTTGAAACTTCAAAATCGGCCAATCCGTTCAGAAATTATAACATTTTAAAGACTCGCATGAAATTTTCGAGCAACATTTCTGGCCATAAATCACATTTTCGATTAGGAATTTTTTTCTCGAATGTGCGTAGGATTTCGGGGGCATGTCTATTCACCAAAAATGTTTGCAATGGACCTCTGTAACTAAATATAATTTTTTTAGTATGATTTGAAATTTTTTAATTTCGTCTAAAAATTTCACATATTTTCGAATTTTTTTCTCGAAAACAGGTAGAATTTCGGGGGTACGTCTATTAACCAAAAATGTTTGCAATGGACCTCTGCAACTAAATATAATTTTTTTAGTATGATTCGTAATTTTTTAATTTCGTCTAAAAATTTCACATATTCTCGAATTTTTTTCTCGAAAACAGGTAGAATTTCGGGGGTACGTCTATTCACCAAAAATGTTTGTAATGGACCCTTGTAACTAAATATAATTTTTTTAGTATGATTTGAAATTTTTTAATTTCGTCTATAAATTTCACATTTTCTCGAATTTTTTTCTTGAAACTGAGTGATATTTCGGGGGTATGTCTATTCACCAAAAATGTTTGTAATGGACCCCTGTAACTAAATATAATTTTTTTAGTATGATTTGAAATTTTTAAATTTCGTCTAAAAATTTCACATCTTCTCGAATTTTTTTCTCGAAAGTGGTTAGAATTTCGTGGGTACGTCTATTCACCAAAAACACTTATAATCGAGTCCTGCAATCAAAAGTAATTTTTTCAAACTGATTCGAAATTTTTAAATTTTAAAAAATTTTTCTATTCGTCAACTGTTTAGTATCGACGTCACTGCTGGACACATGGGGCTTCGACTTGTTCATTTTAGTGAAATATAATCCGTAAGAGTCCAACAGGAGGTACCTGTCGAGTGTTAGTTTGAAAATGGAGTCGATGGTCGGAACAATGATGTGTCGTACAGCGTAAAACGACGTCGGGGGGGGGGCAGGGATTAGTTCTCGAATCCGTGCGGCGACAGGTTCCCCGATCTGGTTCTATGGTTTTCGAGCGCGTAAGAACAGCTATCGTGTCGTACCTAATTAGGAGCACGTAACGGCGCGGGCGCGCGCTTTTTGAAGCGCCCGCCGCCGCGCCGCCGCGCCATGGCGTTTGCATCGGCCGCGACTTTCTTGCCGGATAACTTTCTCGCCGTAAACGATCCGCGCGATCGGGCAAGCCGCTTCGTCGGGGCCGGCTTCGTAAATTTTCTACGAAGTCGGAAACGGGATTTCGTCTCGATTCATCTTGCCGGCAATTACCGGCAACGGCACATGATCCGCGTACCTGCCTACCCGATGCGCTCGATTTATGGGAAACGCGTGTAAGCTTCGGGGGAAACGATTACTTTACTTGCGCGGCGCCTTCCTTCGAAAGCCGAACTTGACACGACGATCGTCTGGGAACGATCGATACCTCGACGTTTTCCTTTTCTCAAACTTTTTTTCTATTCATCCTCGTACGTGTACCAGCTATTCGATACAGCTTCTTAGATATATTCCATTGTAACATTACTCAGCTTTAGAAACGTTGTTCTAAATCAAAAAGTTTCCAGAAGTCGTTGGAAGATACAGATCGGAGATCGGTTGGTATTCCGATCAAAGTATCTTGGCTAGAAGGCCGCTGCAGAAAGGAAGCTTTCCTTCCCCGAATTCGTGGTCCCTTTTTCTTCCTCCTTAATTCCCTTCTGGAGGACACGAATCCGAGCATCGGTACACCCGTCGAAACAGTGGCTGGCTCCCAATTAGGAACCCTCTTTTAAGTAATGCCCGCGATCTCTGCTCGGTTGTCTCTTTCTCGGTCCCGCGAGTGGCACCTACCTGGCTCCGTCTCTCTCCCCCCCTTCTGGCCGCTGGCACGATTGACTTTCCGCGGCATCCTCGTCTTTCTCTTGTATAAATTAGTCCCAGCCGCCACATAATGGCGTGTCGATGCGCTACTGTCCCCCGGGCTAGCTGTTTGCCTTTTTAATTCTCTTTTCCCCCCGTGCTCAGGTAAACTCCCCCCCTTCTCCGTCCTCCTCGTCGGTATCTACGTCTTCTTCCGACCGGCCTTTCTCCGCCGTGGCTCCTCGTCCCACCAGCACCACGGTCGACTCGTCCCCTCCTCGTTCCTCCTTATCGGGGGCCCCGAGAGACCCGCTCCCTGGCTCCCCCCTCGCGCTCGTCAGACCGGCCGCTTAATTTACGACCAATTAATTTGGATAAACTGAATGAGGGGAGGCCTGCTTTCGATGCACGCGTTAACCGTGAATTTTTTTCTCCCCCCCGGCCGTCCTTCCGGTCCAGCGGGCCCCGGCGAGAACCGCTCCGTCCTCAACCTTTTCGGGAACCGCCGACGAAACCGCGGTGAAAACCGACGTTACGATGACACGGTTCGTAACTCCACCATTCATCTCGTTTAAGGCGCAGCGAAATCTCGTCTGCTCTGTAATTGGGGATGAGAAAGCGATACGATTCAATTTTCGCCGTGCGATTGTTCGACCATCTCTCTTACGGATCCCGAGATATCGGGAACTTGTGCATTGTGAGCACTATTTGCGTTAACGGATCGTAGATCTCTCCGCAAATATGGCGGCCATGAAAGTAGCGACTGTTGCCCGTGGTGGATGGCGGCGTGAAATCGGTGGATGTCCAGAAAACGAGCGGTCGGAGTCCGGACTCCGGACTCCGGCGTTTCTCATTGTAGCACACGCGAGTCGATCTCCGGTAGAGACGAGAGAACGGGAAAGACGGCCACGGAGAGAAGAGACGAACGGTGAGGAGCAACGGTGGCACGAAGCAGACATCGAAAGGGGCTCGATGGTCGTCGACAGGCCTGCTTGGTATTCCGTTCCCGTCCGGAGGCATAATTGGCCGCCAACTGGCGACGCTCCTCCGGGTATCGCGAAGACAAGAAATTATTCTTTAATTAATTGTCAGCGCTCAATGTGGCCGCATGCGTAGGATCGGTCGGCCTCGTACATAAATTTCATCTATATGGGAGCGCCGACTGAGCGCGTGTAACAGGCCTCTCGCATAGAAACCGCCCGGAGAAACACCGACGAGAGGAATAAAGAGAAGAGGGGTGGGTGAGAGGGGGCCGAGGAGGAGGTTTTCGATCGCCCGGAGGTAGCAAATACCTGGCGCCTGTTTGTAAACCCTTTAACGGTAAATCGTCCATCGCCGAGGGTCTCTTTTACTCCGTTTCTATAATGCTCGCGTAGGCGATCCGCGGATAACAAGGAGTTCCGTATAATGGGGGGGAAAGTCGGTTCACCCACCCGGGCCAGGATCCCAGTTTGTGGCCTACGGTCACGCCACCGTGGCGAACTGTCGTAGGTGCCGCTGAAATCGTCCGCGAGATCCGACGATATCGACGTCCTACTCGTATTTTCCCCGCGACGTACAACTTCCGGCGATTCTAATAACGCGGTATATCAGAGCCAGGAACAATTAGGCTACCGAATTAAGTCTCCTTTGACCACTGGAACAACCTGGACCTCCTCGATTCGTAGAAATGTCACGGACCCGGTAATCAGAGTCTTTTTTCATTTCTCGCGTTAAGATTCACCTGCAAATAGATATACAGGACCCCCGAGTTCCGTGCCCGTGGGTCTCAGGGAACGTGTATATTTTATAATTAGTCGGGGGAGCCCCCACGTTCGATAAATCAGCGCGCCGCCCGGGCTTAAGACTTAATTAAAAATTTAGTCAAAAACCAATTAGCGGCCACGCCGGATTAACATATTTCTAATTATCTGCCGGACACTTTCGGGCCGCCCTATACCGTTGCCTCGACTACTTGGCATGCACGAGGGGGCCGGCAACCTCTTCTCGTCGATGACTTTGCGATACATTTCGTTGCGCCCAAAACGGTTCTTCAGAGAACGCCGTATTATTGTTTTTCGATCTTTTTTACGTTTTGATACGGGTTCGATCACATTGGACTTACCTTTTCTCACGAATTTCTCCCTCGAAAACCCTCTGTGTACCCCCACCTTTGTAGCTTCGTGAAAACAATTATACAAAGATCCTCCATGGGAATACTTCTTCAGAGAACGAAGTATTATTGTTTTTCGATCTTTTTTACGTTTTGATACGGGTTCGATCACATTGGACCTACCTTTTCTCACGAATTTCTCCCTCGAAAACCCTCTGCGCACCCCCACCTTTGTAGCTTCGTGAAAACAATTATACAAAGATCCTCCTTGGGAATACTTCTTCAGAGAACGAAGTATTATTGTTTTTCGATCTTTTTTACGTTTTGATACGGGTTCGATCACTTTGGACTTACCTTTTCTCACGAATTTCTCCCTCGTAAACCCTCTGTGTACCCCCACGTTTGTAGCTTCGTGAAAAAATGGGAGATCCTCCATGGATGGAATAACGTGTAGAATCGTTGGTAAATACTGAAATCACTTTTATTTAGCTATGGTATACTTCCATGGATAAATTATATCATGTTACATTTATACAGGGTCGCTTAGGTACATCCGGGAGCTCGTTTGCAGCGTTAGCTTCACTCTGGCGGCGTACCACCGTCTCGATCGATCGCGGGGCGCACATAAGTACAGAATTTACATTTCTCTTCGCCCGGGACACACACATGCACACTTATATACAGGTTTCTTTGACTTTCATATTCGTACGCTTAAAATAAGACTATCCGACTTTTTAGCATCCGGCGTCGTATCGAAAGGCGAAACTTTGAGCCGCGGAACGATCTCGAAGCGGAATTGTAGAAGATCGTCGATCCTTCCCCGTAGGAACGCGTCGATCAGGATGCCTCGATAATTCAGTTTTTTGATCCCGTCGATCGTCGCGGATCAGACTTTTGCACGCACGGAAATCGAACGTCCTGTACACGCGTATATACATAGGTACATTTACGATCTACTCGCGTTAAGGCGTCTATTTACAATATGTACATCGGTTACGACGGTTCCCCTTGAGATCAACGCCTTGAAATGCCTTCTAAATGCTGCCTCTTTTGCTTTGGAATCCCAGACGATGATGGTCGTTCGACGCACAGCGTTCGACGATCCTTTTCTACTGAATCAACGCGAGTGTCAAAAGAGGGCGAAAAGCAACACGGAGGAAAATTTATTCGTGGTACCGTTGTGATCTATTAGAGAGTAATTTTTTGATGGATCGTGAGACACTGTGCGACCATTCCCTAGTGTTCATCGGCACAGAGGTGCTGTTTTCACTGTTGCAAACCTCAAAGCCCATCATCGCGGTGAAGTGGTCTTTGGTCGGTTGTCCAAGATCCGGTGGATCATTGTTGGGGATCCAAAGTGGACTTAGGGATCAGGCGACGCGTTCGTCCGGGGTGAAGAGATAGGCTGGCCAGGATGCGAGCGACTCGAGCTCGCTTCGGCTCGAGTCTGCCTTATTAAGGCCTGTGTCCAGGGGGCCCCATGAACATGGCTGCCGCGGTGTGCCTAGCCATGGCCGCCGCGATGAAGGGAGGCACTCCAGGTGTTCCAGGGGGCCCCACTCCGGAGAACATGAGGCCCGAGCCGAAACTCGGGTGCAGCAGCGGCCTCGCGGACAGCCTGAGCTTCTCGATTTCCGCCTCCTGCAACCGCTTCGCCTTCGCCCTCCTGTTCTGGAACCAGATTTTCACCTGAAACACGCCAAACGGTTTCTTCGCATCTCTCCAAACAACCTGGCCTCGAAGTGGTCTTTTTTAAAAATGTGAATATCGTTGAATTTCGTAACAATTGGGTGTTCGAACAAGGCTGAGTAGATAAGAATCGCGGTTCTCGTACGCCAGGTATTGTCACGCTCTTGATCCCGTATCGACTTTCCCTCGATTATCGTACCGGGCGATCGGCATCGATGAAATCATTCGCGCGGATCGGAGCAGAAAACCGTCGTGCATCGTCGGCGGCGGCGTAATTAAATAATTACGCTATCGATCAGCCGTACGTAAACGGTCTAACGAGGGACGCGCGCGATCGGCGAACAGCCAGCGAGAGAAAATGGCCGGTCACGGGTGGGGGCAACGACGGTGGCTATTTAGCGCGTAATTAGCCGCCTGAAATTGGTGAAAGCAGCGATCCAGCCGAGACTGGAATCCCGACGCCCGTCGCGGGAAAAATCACCGTCTACGCGTTTGCACGGTCGACGACCGATTTTCTGTTTGAACAGACGCCGGGGCGATTTCCCTTTTGAAAATCGCGCGCCATCGCCTCGTTGTCACGCGAGCCACGGCTAATTGTTTTTATTAATATTGATCGTCGAAAGTAAGAGTGGCAAGGTTTCGTAATAATGGTCCGTGATCGTAACGGATTACGTAACACCGATCTACTTTCTACTTTTGTTGGATGGATCGCGTGCGGAGCTGGGTCTTTGTCTACTTTGATCCCCCCCCCCCCGTTTTGAAAACGAGATTTGAATTAATACGGCATTAATTTGCTTCGCTGTTGCTTGCACCACGGCGGGTACACCTTGTAGATCGTTCCCGTCGATCGTCGGAGCGTTACTATCGACAGACGTACACCGTGTACTGACATTTATTTGCCTATTGCTATCATTATCATCCTCGGTAGCGTTATATTATTTTTTTGTTATCGTAATGCGCGGTGATTACGCGGCTCCACGTGAGAATTAGCATTAAGCGCCCCGTAGCACGCGTAACGAGTTCAAGGAGCCGTAATCTGATTGCTGAAATCGGCAGCGAACGTACGCGGGAGTGAAATAAAAAATGCAGATGGAGGGGAAAAAAAACGATATAAATCGCCGGCTCCTTAATAAATCTGACGTGTTGTCTGACACGCGTGTAACGCGGACGGGGAGGATCCTCGTCGCTTAGAAAGTAGAAATCTCCCTTCGCGTGACAATGGGCGATCAAATTGTTGCTGGTTATCCCGGAGGAAAGACGATACGCGATATCCACCTATGGTTTTTCCACGCTTCCTGTTTTTCACGCGTCACACCGCTCGCGCACAATTTTCCACACGCACGCGAATTAAAATCATCCTCTTGCAACCCCCTTTAAGCTATTTTCAATCTCTGCTTGTTTGAACTTTGGAAAATATGCTAATTAAATTTAGATTATTGCTACATATAGCCGTCACAACATTTAATTTCGTATTAACCCCTTAACGTTCATGCCCCGAGTCTGACTGCTTTGAAAAACGATATTTATTGAATGGTTTAAGGGATGATAATATTTCTTTTCCTTCAAATTATACGTTGGATACAACATTGTAATTAACAAAAACCACATTTTTAGAAACAAATCCAATAAAGAAAACTCATTATTCTTAATTAACCCGAAAAATATGAGCGGTAAGGGGTTGAGAAACGTGGATGTTGAACTTTGCACTCCACTGGCGCCACTGTGGCGACAAATAGTACCATAGCTCGTTTATAAAATATGTAAATAAAATTCAGATTATAGGTATTCTTTTTTAATATATAATAGTTTTTTTTTATTGTTGGAAAAGACGTCAGAAAGTTTAATTTGGTATTGCAAAGGGTTGAGAAACGTGGATGTTGAAGTTTGCACTCCACTGGCGCCACTATGGCGACAAATAGTACTATAGCTCGTTTACGATGATTCGAATTTGGAAAATATGCAAATAAAATTTAGATTATTGGTACTTATAGCCGTCACAAAATTTAATTTCGTATTAAGAAACGTGGATGTTGAACTTTGCGCTCCACTGGCGCCACTGTGGCGACAAATAGTACCATAGCTCGTTTATAAAATATGTAAATAAAATTCAGATTATAGGTATTCTTTTTTAATATATAATAGTTTTTTTTTATTGTTGGAAAAGACGTCAGAAAGTTTAATTTGGTATTGCAAAGGGTTGAGAAACGTGGATGTTGAAGTTTGCACTCCACTGGCGCCACTATGGCGACAAATAGTACTATAGCTCGTTTACGATGATTCGAATTTGGAAAATATGCAAATAAAATTTAGATTATTGGTACTTATAGCCGTCACAAAATTTAATTTCGTATTAAGAAACGTGGATGTTGAACTTTGCGCTCCACTGGCGCCACTGTGGCGACAAATAGTACCATAGCTCGTTTATAAAATATGTAAATAAAATTCAGATTATAGGTATTCTTTTTTAATATATAATAGTTTTTTTTTATTGTTGGAAAAGACGTTAGAAAGTTTAATTTGGTATTGCAAAGGGTTGAGAAACGTGGATGTTGAAGTTTGCACTCCACTGGCGCCACTATGGCGACAAATAGTACTATAGCTCGTTTACGATGATTCGAATTTGGAAAATATGCAAATAAAGTTTAGATTGTTGGTACTTATAGCCATCACAAAATTTAATTTCGTATTAAGAAACGTGGATGTTGAACTTTGCACTCCACTGGCGCCACTGTGGCGACAAATAGTACAATAGCTCGTTTATAAAATATGTAAATAAAATTTAGATTATAGGTATTCTTTTTTAATATATAATAGTTTTTTTTTATTGTTGGAAAAGACGTTAGAAAGTTTAATTTGGTATTGCAAAGGGTTGAGAAACGTGGATGTTGGATTATCGAGTAGAGTAAGGGGTTGTTTTCACGGATGGATCGTCGATCGATGTGTCGGGCGCGAGGTATTTCCAGGAACGGCCCCCGGCGTGAATATCGGATCCTAAATCGCGACATTAGCTCCCGGCCGCGAGTGAATAATGAAAGGAACGCGTAGCGTGGCGGTGGGCCAGGGTGTTTCGGGGCTGGCGAGGACACGAGGTGATCGTAGCTTATCTAAGCAAATGAATACGACGAAGCTTCATTTCGCCTGATGCATTGTAATGAGTGGGCAAAGTGTATCTGGACACGCCAACCCGCACGATAATAGCCGCATCGCGACGGTCATTTCGGCTATTACACGTGTCAGGGGTAGAACGTACGTCCAGCCACGTCCCTAACGTTCCGTTACTTTTATCGCTCGTGTTCGATAAAATTCTTTTTTTTTTTATCGCCAACGCGTTAAATAGCTGGCAACGAACGGTACCCCGAGAGGGAATATCTCGTCTACGCTATTAATTGAATCAGCGTGCCGCTATAAACGGCTCCACGAGCACTCCAAGTTGATCCAGAATTTCAAGATCGGACCAGAGACACCGTCCTGTACAATTCCGCTTTCGTTTAATCGCGCGCAGCGAATATTTCAAATAATCTTGGGAACTATTTACATATTTGTCGGGACGTTTCGGGAACAGTAAAAATCGGATCGATTCGATCGCCGCGGCCATGGAATAAAAGATCGTTCGTGACGCCAGTCGCTCGTTAGAATCGCTGCTTTACATACCCGTGACGCGTTTTGCACGATCATTATCGAGCAGTCTGTTTCTAAATAAATTAGTCTAATTTCGAATCGTTCTTCCGGTAAGTTCTCGACCGGTTCGATACGCAATCGCTATAACGCGTTCGTATTCTGCGTTTCTCGATGGAATAATTCGAGGTAAAATTGAGTTTAAGAGTAGGAAAAATTGGGGGGTTCCTTGGAAGTGTCTCGTGCAGAGGGATCGTTTTGTAATTGCGAAGCTTAATGGCCGCTCGTGGCGAGTCTCACCTGCGTTTCCGTGAGGTGGAGGGAGGAGGAGAACTCGGCCCTTTCGGCGATGGTCAGGTACTGCTTTTCGCGAAACTTTTTCTCGAGAGAGAGCAGCTGTTGCGTGGTGAACGGTGTCCTCGGCTTGCGATTCGGCTTGTGCTTCCTGAGGGTGCACCTGACCGGTCCTGGTCCAGGCCCAGGCAGTCTCAGATCGCCTGAAATCGATTAGAAACATTCTGGATCAGTCCCGAATTCCTCCTCGTTCGATCGATCAACAAAATCAGCATCTTGGATCGGGAATTTACCAGGCAGGGAAGCGTAACGCTTTGGCTAATTGTCGAAACACGGCTGGCAAGCGCGAGGTCGTCAATTCCGCGGCGTGTGTTTGACAGCAACAATGTAACCGGTATCGTTTGGGTACACGTAGCCGGCGAGAAAATATGCTCGCGATTGTACGGTAACCGTACAACCGGAATAATTAACGCAGTCGATTACTATACGAAGGTGAATTAAGATATCGTTTCGGTCGGCATAATTATTGCCCAACCGTCGGCGGCTGATAAATCATCAACGTCGCCCCGCAGCTGCAGGTAGAGAGATACCTTTTCTTGTCGCACGGGATCCGATAAAAGTATTTACAGATTTCTTTCGATGTAGGTGTCGAATCGAATCGTTGATTGATTTTTTTTTTCGGAAATTTATCGCCGTTAATTACCGGCCAGAGACGCCCGATGGGAATGAAGCGTCCCCCGAATATCCGATACCGAGCCTCGTACTCGCAATATTAATCATGTTCTGGGCAGATTTGTTCGAATGGCGCAAAATTATCGGCTCGTTATTTCCGTGCATGCATTGCATAATGATTATCTGCGGGACCGCGATAATCTCCACACAGCCACCGTTAATTAATGCGGGAGGATCGATCGAAAACCCTCTATTCACCCTTTGATTTTCCAAACAGACTTTTCACCAATCATCCGAAATTCTCGTCGCTTGTTCGAGACCATTCAAAATTCGTCTTTCCGATTAATGCAATTCTAAGGGAGCGTTTGCACGAATTATTTGCTAATCAGAGTTGTTAACCCTTTGCACACCTATGTCGAGTGTGAATCGACATCAATTTTTATCTCAGGAGCTCCTTTTTTCGTATATCATACACTTGAAAATTATAAAATACAACAACAATGTAAATAAAACAGATATTTAATTGAATTTGTTTAAATCTGCCCTACTTTTTGGCTAACGTAAACTTCAAATAAAACATACTGCATCGACGCATTAACTAGGAGTTAACCCTTTGCACACCTATGTCGAGTGTGACTCGATTTCTATCTCAGGAGCTCCTTCGTCGAGTCCTACATTTTCGAGTCCAAACCATGGGAGATATCGTACACTTGAATGCTAAAAAACACAACAATAATGTAGGAGATTTGTGTTGAATATTTGTGTCACGCTGTAGTTTGGTTCAATGTTGACTTATGTGCAAAAGGGTTGAAAGTTTCTATCTCAGGAGCTCCTTCGTCGAGTCCTACATTTTCCAATCCAAACCATGGGAGATATCGTACACTTGAAAGCTAAAAAACACAACAATAATGTAGGAGATTTGTGTTGATTATTTGTGTCACGCTGTAGTTTGGTTCAATGTTGACTTATGTGCAAAAGGGTTGAATGTGTTTTGTTAAAAAAAGAAGGGGTTACTAGGGGCAGCGAGCCAACGGGCAGAGAGTAACGAGTGATTTGGAAATTTGGCAATTAATGTGATTTTAATTTGTGTAAAAAGATTGCGTGCTCGGTGCATTTCAAGTTCGTTCTTTTGTACATTTGTTCCAAATACAATTCCCTTTTTTAAATCCTACAATAATGTAAATAAAACAGATATTTCATTGAACTTGTTTCTTCCCCTATTTGTTTAAATTTCCCCTACCTTTTGGCTAACGTAAATTTCGAATAAAACGCTTACAAGCGTTGGAAGCTGCTGGTAATAAAATTCAAATATATTGAAGGAGTTAAAAAAATGATCAAGATTAGAAAAGAAAATAAAGCTAGCTAGGGCCCTTGAATTTTAACGAGTCTGTGAACATAAATTCCGTGAGAAATTCTTGGTATGCTAGTTTCCAATTATCTAAAAACAGAATTTAATTTTCGGGGTTTTGGTCTGACAGTGGACGTGTTAAAGAGTGTTTTAGCTAAAAAGGAGTCTCTTCTGGAAGCTGACACATCCCCCCAATCCCAGATCTCGCCTCGTTACGCTTATTTTCCTTATTTCTCGTTCGAAATTAGCTCGCAAAGCGTTTTACCAATTTGACTAATCTCATTTTATAGCTACAATTATATTTTACAGTCCGTTGAGGGGGGCTACTACCGAGTAGATGCGATCTGTACAAGATTTTTTAACGGCTTTCAACGCCGTTTCCCGTTCCTTTCGTTCGAATAAATTACGGTCAACGAGTATAGGCGGTAACTCACTCGTGTTCTCACAGGAAGAAGGCAGATCCTAATTATTTCTCAAGGCCATTACCTCTGACATACGTTCGTTTGTTCGCCACTGTTTGCAAACGATTGCACAATTCTACTAATTCGAATCACCACGATCAGAAAGAATGGGACCATAAATAAATAAATAAGCGATCGTAAGGTGTTTCAGTTTTAATAATGTCAATTTTTTATCTCAAGAGTTTCAAGTCCAAACCAAAGAAATATATCGTACACTTGAAAATTACAAAATACAACAACAGTGCAAATAAAGCAGATTTCAAATAAAACACTTGAAAAAGGGTTAAAACAACAGGTGCCCCGTCTCCGTGGCGCAAAGGACCCCCTCGATTATAGTGCAATTTTAAAGAGTCACGCACAATTAACGTTCGACTGATTCCGAACAAAAGGCCGTCTGACGTGGTCGAAACACCGCTAATTGCGGGCGTACGAATCAATCAACGAGCATCGACGCGATAATTATCGTCGCGAACGGACAATTTATTTTTCGCTTCTCGAACGAAAACGAGAACTGGCTGTATAAATTCGGGAATTGACCCTTTGCACTCCGAATTATACTTGAATTTTATTACCAAATTTACGTTAGCCAAAAAGTAGGGGAAATTTGAACAAATAGGGGAAGAAACAAGTTCAATGAAATATCTGCCTTATTTACATTATTGTAGGATTTAAAAAAGGGAATTGTATTTGGAACAAATGTACAAAAGAACGAACTTGAAATACACCGAGCACGCAATCTTTTTACACAAATTAAAATCACATTAATTGTCAAATTTCCAAATCACACGTTACTCTCTGCCCGTTGGCTCGCTGCTCCTAGTAACCCCTTCTTTTTTTAACAAAACACATTCAACCCTTTTGCACATAAGTCAACATTGAACCAAACTACAGCGTGACACAAATAATCAACACAAATCTCCTACATTATTGTTGTGTTTTTTAGCTTTCAAGTGTACGATATCTCCCATGGTTTGGATTGGAAAATGTAGGACTCGACGAAGGAGCTCCTGAGATAGAAACCTTCAACCCTTTTGCACATAAGTCAACATTGAACCAAACTACTGCGTGACACAAATATTCAACACAAATCTCCTACATTATTGTTGTGTTTTTTAGCTTTCAAGTGTACGATATCTCCCATGGTTTGGACTCGAAAATGTAGGACTCGACGAAGGAGCTCCTGAGATAGAAATCGAGTCACACTCGACATAGGTGTGCAAAGGGTTAACTCCTAGTTAATGCGTCGATGCAGCATGTTTTATTTGAAGTTTACGTTAGCTAAAAAGTAGGGCAAATTTAAACAAATTCAATTAAATATCTGTTTTATTTACATTGTTGTTGTATTTTATAATTTTCAAGTGTATGATATACGAAAAAAGGAGCTCCTGAGATAGAAATCGAGTCACACTCGACATAGGTGTGCAAAGGGTTAACTCCCAGTGAATGCGTCGATGAAGTATGTTGAAAGTTTGCTGGAGGATCGTCGGTTGGAGAGTCGATCGATGAAATGTTACGACGCAGTTTTCGGTGGTTCCGTAATTGGCGTTTCCGTGAAGAGAAACGGGCGAAAATCGTCGCCGGTGAAAAAAGGGGGTCGTCGATCGGACGAACGGGGCAAGAATCGGTAGAGTACTCGCGTCGTTGCAAAAAACGGTATCGGGGCCGGGGGGGGGGGGAAGTCGAAAGGATGACGATTTCGCGGCAATCGCGGGGCAACGTCGAATTCCGTGCGCTAATTAACGATCGGTCGGGGGACAAAAAAGGGAACGGGGGCCCGGGCGGCATTGTCGAGCGGATCTGTCGCGACATCGGTATTACGTCTTCCATTCTGGTCGCCGCGCGGCTGTTCCCCTCGTTTCACCGGCTAGTCGGCTAGTCCGCTCACATAACCGATCAATATGTTCCTCTTAGACGCTAATTAATTTCTGCTAATTAAACGCTCGCTGGGATCCCCGTGGAAATATATCTTGCGCGGTTTACTTTCCGCGTAGCGCGTGGACAAAGCACCTGCGGTAACCGCCGGACACGGGAACTTTTGCTCTCTTTCGTATTCGGTCGATCGAAGCATTGTTCGAGGTGAGCCCTACGCACACGGAAGTAACCAACCGGTGGATAAGTGGGCGCGTAGTATGTTCGCGGAGTCTGGATATGGAGTATCGCGCGGTTTGAGTACTTTAAATGGCGTTCCAGGTAAGTACCAGCGATCTACACTGGAATTTTAGTATACAGTTTGTACGGGGATAAGTGGCTATTTAACACTTTGCCCGCCTTACAAGGAACCCCTAAGCGCGCCGAACTCCTCGTGAAACGGCAATTTAGAGAATTCGAATATTTTTACGACAGTACAAGCAACTGTAGCAATTAGTCGTTCGAGCAAGATCAAACGTAGAATCGAAGCGTCTTTAGGACTAGGTCTTTTTCGTTCTCCCTTTACGGCGATAGTTTCCATTGTCGCGCGAAAATGGCCCGTTATTAATTGCTGATTTGTCGCAATTCATTTGTATCGCGAGATACGTAGTGTATCTGCCCCCCCCCCTGCCCCCAACCCCCCCACGGGTAAAAGCGTAATGAATTCCCGATGAAGTTGCTCCGCGGGGGCAATAAATTCCGCGCCGGGTAAAATAGTCGCTGATGAAACGGGTTTCGTCTTTTGCTCTCGCGCTATCGCGCTGACAATTCGCGTATCGCGGTCAGTCGCGTATCTTACTAATGACCAGCCCCGGTTCAATATGTTTCTTACGGACGCCAATTAATTCCTGCTAATTAAATGTTCGCATGATTTACGATCGATATGTGTACACGCGTATGTATATACGTTCGTTGCCCGACCGATGATTGACCGACCCGATCGACGGAGAGGGACAAAGATATTCCGCACTTTGTGCCTCGTTTTACGACGGGGATGAACCGCGCCGCGCGGCTTCATTAAAATGTTTCGACGCTTATTAAGTCGTGACTCGTTACTCGGGCAATTTCGAATTCCCGCACTTTCTACAATTAATTACCCCCTCCCGATCACGATTTATATTTCTCAGGATTACGCGTGCTATCCTCGCGTCTGTTATTCCATGGATCTTCCATTATAACGTGGCAATTTCTAACCTAGAAATTGTGAACACATTCTTACGTCAGGCAACCATATTATTCCATCGATTTTTCATTATAACGTGGCAATTTCTAACCTGGAAATTGTGAACACATTGTCACATCAGGCAACCATATCGTTCCATCGATTTTTCATTATAACGTGGCAATTTCTAACCTGGAAATTGTGAACACATTGTCACATCAGACACAAATATTATTCCATCGATTTTTCATTATAACGTGGCAATTTCTAACCGAGAAACAGTGCACACATTGTCACATCAGACAACCATAACAGCTAGACCTCTGTTAGACACCCATAACACGTCAATTTCATATTCTATTTGACTTGTAAATGTTCGAGTCGAGGAATTCGCGATCAGCTGATCGGGTCAGTCGTCCGCCATGTTTACTTTCGGTAGCTTCTCGAGTCCCGGGAGCGTTAACGTCGTCGAGGACGATAAATGTGTTTCATAGTGACTCGAAAGGGCGAAATACGCGACAACAAACGCGTCTCCACGGATCACCGACTCCGTTCGATCGATACGTTCCTCCAACTCGCTAATTAATTTTCTGGTAATTACCGTGCGCTCCTAGACGCACGATTATTGCTGCGCACGGCTAACGAGGCCGTATTAGGCGCTCGATCTCATTGTTCGGGCTCTTTGTCGAATATCCCGGTAACCCGCCAGTTTCGACTGTCTCCGCGCGCTAATTAACGCGTTAATAATTGGACCGTTTATTTCGAAATTTTATAGTTTATTTAGTATTAAAAATACCACTTCTATTTAATGTCGTGTGATTATTTGAAAAGAAAATTGGAACGATACGAAGTATATTTCAAGTGATATTTGATTTTTCAAAATTGAAATTAAACGACTATTTACAATTGTCTATTATTGTCTTAACTATACATCATTTCAGTATATTGATAAAACAGTAGAAACATTGCCAGACTTCGTATAATATGCCTAAATTTTTTAATCAACGGATACGTTAACCTTTAATTTTCTCGAAAGAAGAGAAAATGGAGTTGCACCACTTTAAAAATAAACGGTCCAATTCCGATGATTAACGCGAAAGTTCGACCTGGAACGGATATCGATTAATTAGAATTCTTAAATGCTTCCCCGGTTGACAATAAACGCGGTTTTCGAGGAGAAACTTGTTTCACGGCGATTGACGCGTCGAGGGGTGGATTTTCTTACCCTCCCCTCTCTCTTTGGAAAAACCGCGCTCGAGCGACGGTCGTTTCGAACACCCCGTGGACGATAATTACGGGCTGGTCGGGGAATGATGAATCGTTGGAAATATTTTGCGGAACGTCATTGGACGGGCGTCGTTAATTCATTGCTGGTCGCGGAGGCCCGGCAGATAAATGCGTGCAGGCCGACGGTGGCGCTCGAGCGTTATAAATGACGTCCGTATTCATAATTTTCGAAAGCCACCGCCCAGCGGCGGGCCACCGGATTATCTATCGGCTGGACGAGCCTCGTATCAACCCCTCCCCTTCGATAACTCCATCCCCTCGTCTAATGGGCTTTTCAACTCTGATTGTTGCTATACTAAAATCGTCCACTCTCGAAACAGATTTCAATAAACATAGAAACTCTGGAAGTTGCATCGCGAGTTTTGCATGTTCCTTGGAGCAAACGCGATCTTGTCCGTCCAATCAAAGAAGAAACGCGGGTAATTGGTCCTCACCGTGGGGCGAAAAAGAGAGGAGGATAGCGGTTTGTCGTTATCATCGGCAAAAACGTCGAGTGGATGACGGTGGTCAGGAAGCTGGGTGTGCCCGGGGCGAACCTAACAAGGGCAGTTTTTACCCCGGCTTGAATGCATTATGGATGCTCGGGAGTTATGTATGACTCTATCATGCTCTTGTACCGAGTCCTCCAGGTCCGCTCCACCCTTTTCACCTCTCCATACCGGACACACCGGGAGAGAAGTTTCTATACAGACCGTTCGCTCCTTCCTCGAGTTTTCTACGCGTCGCGGACCGCTCCCGTAATGGCCACGGAGATTTCTTTCTTGGAAACGGCGCGAGTTTCTCATTACGCGCGGCTCGTAATTTCACCCGCTAAAACCTCGAGCACCGGCGAGCTTCGTTGCCATCGTTTTTTATTCGAGTTGCGTTCATCGCAGCCTCCGCCCCCAGAGATCTTCTTTCTTAAGATCGAATTTCTTAATCGGGGTAGGTTGAAAAGCCGATTGACTCGTCCGGTGGAAAACTCATTGTTTCCGGTGAACGTTCGCTCAGGGTCCGGGGTAAAAATTTTAATTGGACCCCAAGGTACACGTGTCACGAGACAGAGACGAAAGAGGTATCTTATGGCCGGGGTACAAACCGGCCGCCGTTAAGGTAAAATCGTCAATTAAGTCTAACAGGCGTGTACGTTGATACGTAGGCAAGAGGTTGGGGGCGACGGGGTGGCGCGTTTCTGCGGTTAGATCGATTCGCGAAGCGAAACCGGTAGTCGGCACGTTTAATTGACCGATTATTTCGCGCCGGTGACGCGCTCAATGTCCTATCACGACGGGGAACAAAAGTAATTCTCGTCGATCTTTGGCCGATTCGAGCCTCTCCGATTGTCTCTTCATTTTTTTCTCCGCAGCGGCCGTGTCGTTAGGCGTAATTGATCGAATATGAGATCCTCGAACAGTTCTCGCGACACAGTTTTCTCCCCGCAGATCGGAATAAGAGTTTTATCGCGACTAACGAGCGATAAAAATCGCCGTTTAGCCAGGAAACGGGGAATCGGCTGGCCCAATAGCCTAGATACGCGTCGCCAGGTGAACGAGAGAGGTTTATCGGTCTCTTCTCGAGCAGACTTCCGCGAGAGTTCGACGTTTGTGGAACGAAACGCAGGATTTTTAATTCGAGCCATCAGATTGTAAGGAAAAGGAACGGTGTTTTTCCCGGGCTGATACAACTTCCGAGTCCGGCGGACCGGATTCGGAATACTTTGGCGCGTAATTCCGATAATAACCGGCGTCTCGCGTGACCGGCGACACTAATATCGAGCGTTATGGGGGCTGCGTGCCGCGGATGTCGTGCAGAGCCGCGCCAGAAGTCGGCGTAGTCCTCCTAATCATCAACATTGTAACCCCGACTGCCGGGAAATCCTCGCCGATAGGCGAAAAGGAAACGAGAATAACGATTCACGGAGGCAAGTTAGTTACGCCGACCCGTAAATCGACTTGATAAGTAGTGTACCCAACGCACGGCTAATATTCTCGCGAGCTGATATCGCGATGGCTTTGATGACGGGAGAATAATGGGCAGCGCGGGCGTGCCGCTCGAATCGATGCTCCTTTCTTACCTCGACACTTCAAACGGTTACCATTTTCTACGCCCTTTGTCTACGCCCTTTGTTTACGCTGTTTAGCAAGCTTTAAGACTCGTCGTTGCACGGCAGGGGGATTTTTCACACGAATTCTAGGCCCTAGCCTCCAATATCAATAACCACGATAGATTTGATGACTCAGTAACGTGTCAGATTGGTGGCCCAGGGTGGTTAAGAATCAATCCACTCGAGTTCCATGCACCCAGAGTGAAGGAAGATAGATGTACGAAGGGATAGAGATGTTTGCTTACCGTTTGGACTGGTGGGTCCTCCGTGCGGCGTGTAGAGATGCCCGTGAGGATTGTGGGGATGCGGGGGTGGGGGTAGCCACGCGAACCCCGCGAGAGAATGCGGAAATCCCGCGGGATTCCATCCGGGAGCACCGGGTGCCCCGGTTAGGTAAGGGGGACCCTGAGAGGGCCTTTGTACCCCGGGATGAATCGGCTGAGGCACTACGGGACTGGACTTCTCCTCCTTCTCTTGGCTACTGTCCAGGTCTCTCTCTAGCTCGCAGTCCGAGTCCATCACGTTCAGATCCTCCGAATGGCCCACGCTTCTGATCTCTTGATCCTCGAGGTCCAGATGATCGGTCCTGTCGCCCTCGAGCGAACGATTCGCCTCCGAGTCGCTTCTATCGTCCATGATATCTCGTCTGGTGACCGGCGACACGGATCGCGGGTTCCCGATCCTGTCGATCCTCTCGTCCTCCTCCTGGCCGCGTTCCCTCTGGATCATAGACTCGGGGATCCTGTTGCTCGGCGAGCTGCTCGACAACCGTCGATCGTCCCGATCCCTCTGCGCTTCCTGGTCCATTCTGATCGGTGACGAGGATTTGTCGTGGCTGGTAGTCCTCGAGAAGTCCTTCACAGTGAGGATCTCCTGCCGGCCAGCCGACGGGTGATCCTGGTCCAGCCTGCTCGGCGGGTGATGATGATGATTGGTGAACGCCAGACCGTGGGGGCTCAGCCTGGCCAGGAGCTCTCTGCTCTGTAGTCTCTGCTGCTCCATCAGCAGCTGGTACCTGGCCTCCATGTCCAGGCACTTTTCCGACTCTGTCCTATCCTCTGTCTCGCGTCTGGCGAACGCGCCGCCGGTCACGGCTGTCTTCTTCATGTCGCTCAGCAGCGAGTCCACGCTGAAGCTGATCTTGCCGCTTCGCGGTTTCAGATTCGACGATGCCGACGTCGGGGTTGCCATGTCGACGTCCTCGCAGAGCCTGTCGTTCCCGGTGCCCCGGCCTGTCACCACGCCCTCGTTGCTGCTCATGCCTTTCCACGTTTTTTTCCCCCCCACAATGCTAGACGAGTCAGCGTTCCAGGGTAGCAAATCGAGTACGTATGTACAAAGCAAGACCTTCACCGGGATGGGGGTGGTTGTTCACTTCATAATGTACACTTTGTCGCTGTGTCTACGCCACTACCTAGTACCGTAACGCGGTCATCGTTCTCTATTTTTGCATCGGGGAACCGTCATCGCGGATCTTGGCTCTGTTCACGGACTGCCATCCCGGGTGATTCCGGGGGCCCGTTATTCTCGGAATCCGCCGCGTCGCCGCGGAACGACCGAGCCGGCACGAGCGGATCCCCCCATTAAAGTCAAAGCAGTTTCTTTACGAGATCAACATGACGGTCCACGGCTTCTTCTGGTCTCTCGTGTCAGGCACTCAACATTATTCTGATCCCCCGATAGTCACTCGCATATAGACCCTGTCGTTCCCGGATAACCGATCAAGGGTTACGCGCCGATCTCTGTTGATTCGCTAAGCCCGGGTGCACCGTCAGCCAGGACAAAGGAGGCGGTTGGTCAGAAATCCGTGGATTATCAGGGAGAAGAGGGTGATCGAAGTCTCGCACTGTCACAGTCGCGTCACGACCGACGGATACGCGCGGGGGGTGTATCGTAATCTGCGTAATCTTGCCGCGTGGTGGCCACTACTGCCGCGGAAACGACACTGATTACCAGCTCGACTGCGGAGAGGCCTGCCGTGGCGTTCTCTCTCTTCTCGGTGGCGGCCGGCGTCGCGGTGCTCGCCGCCGGTGATCGCGCGCCGCCCCCGCGGAACCCGTGGAACCGGTACCGTGTCGTGTCCTCGGCCAATGCGGACCACTCCAGTCACACCACAGACCTAACCCGGACCCCTCGAAACTGGGCGTGCACCGTCGAACCGTCCACCGCCAATGGGGAACCGTCAAACGCGTTTGAATTCTCTCTCCCTCCATTCCGGGGAACGCGAAGCGTTTTCGAGCGCGTCGCCGCTGTCAGATGGCGCTGCGAGCTTCGGAGCGGCGGCGCTTCGCGGACGGCGGCGGCGCCGCGCGTGGGGATGAAACGCCCGGGTGGGGGAAGGTCGGTCGAAGGGGCTGAAGCGGAACGGCGGGGAACGGGATGATGAGGCGACTGCTCGGGGAACGTGACGACTCCTAATTGTCTAATTCCCGGGCGCGATGCGCGAATTGATTGGCAATCCTCACGGTGGATGTCGGCGTTGCGCGGCCCGCGCGCACGCCCGCGGGAATAATGACGTTGTTGCCGGCGACCGCCGACAGCAGCTTTTTCCCTGGAAAAAAGTTTTCCGCGATGCCGGAGGGTAAATGATCGATGGAAATTGGACGCTTGATTGGCGGGTTTTCGACGCGCTCGGTGTCGGATTTCAGACCGGATTCTCTCTAACGGTAGTCTCTCTATAGTTGGGTACACGCTGATGCCACTGACGTTATCTAATTTTTCCGAAAGGAACCGTCGAGCCAGCAAGTTCACGGGAATCCTCGCGATGTTGTACACCGGGACGAACAATATTTTAGGATTAAACTAATCCGATTGGCAGGTTGGCGGTTCGAGCCGGTGTCCCGTGGGAGAACTTGTAACAGGGAAGAGGTGCAGATTTTCCAGTCAATCCGATTAACCCAAATCTTGTTACACCTACACGGCCAGGGAAAACTAAGGAAAGGTTCACGACTTCCTCCCGATTTTCATCCCTCGATAGTGGTCGTCGAAGGCATCTTTTCTCCCTGAGGAGGGAGGAGCCTAGCCTGCATTCCGAAAACCGTTTGCACATTAGCGGGGAATAAACGACACCGAAATATAGCGCGGATGCGCGATCGCCATAATAGGAGCGCCGAGTAGTCTATTAAGCGTCCTCAAAACCAGTTAGTGAGTCGGCAATCCAGTTTAGGTACAAAATGGCTGTCGTTTAGCGAGGATTAATGGTCTCGGGAGTGCCCCGGGGCAGCATAATGGGGCAGATGCGTCCCGGACGAGGGGGAACCGACTCCCCACCCTTCTGCCCGCGTCTCCCCCTCGCCACCATTCGTCTCTCTCTCCCTTTTGCTCGTATCGCGACGACATCCACCCCGCTACCGTACCCTCCCTTACTCCACCCCTCGAGCTAACCTCATTATATACACCTATCTGGCTACGGGGTCCATTATGCCCTTTTTGCGCTTTCCTGCGTGCATCGGAACAAATACACGAGTTTCCACCGCGTCCCTGTGTGCGTGCACCGCACCAGGCGAACGTGTGGATCGCTCGAGGGGAGCAGCCACTCGTATTTGGGCCTGGAAGCGCCGTTTAGTTTGGCGTTTCATGGTCCAACGACTCCCCTAGCTCCGCCGACCTTTCTGGGAGCAAACTAGCAAGAAGCTATTTTCTCGAACAGAAACCAAGATGTCGGACCCTTTAATACCCCTACGAGCGTGTGAATCTCGTTGTTTCACGTTTTCAACGAATTAGCGAACGGAGTTACCGGGCGCAGAGCACCGCCGGGTATGTCCAGGCCTCCGATCCCTTAAACCGGGCGTCTCCCAGGGGGATCGCGTACCCCGAAACTCGCACCACGCCCACAGTTTAACGAAATAATGCCGGTCGTTTGAAACGAACAACAGAATCTTAAATACCTGGCCCCTTTGTCGAGCAGGTGACCAACCTACCCCGCCTTGGTTTCGCATTTTCAATCGCCGCTCGCGGATATTTAAAATAACAAGGCCTCGTATCGGAGCTCCTTCGCGCGAACAAACGCGGCTCGGACCGAGGAGCGCAAAGAGGATTTACGGAAATCCTAAAATAATCAAACACCGGGTACCCCGCTCGTCCTGCAAACAGGATTAGGACGAGACGCGCAGAGGGTTGTCCCGGAACTCTACCTGTCCCGTGGAAACTTGACTTTACGACTCCTCTCCTCACAATGCTCGAAATTTGTTTCCCCGAGATTTCATCCCTTATCTGCTCGCGAGGCGACCCGCCACGTTCGGGGGGATTCGTCGAATTGTTTCCAAAACGGAAATTCAAATAAGTAATCGGGTCGAAAGGAAGGGGATGATAAATTTCAATTTGCCCGAATCTCTCGAGGTGTATGTTCTATTCAAGTATCGGTCGCGGTCGATCGTAAAACGATCGTAGCTCTCGCGAATCGAATCTACCCTCTATGGAGTGGTGCTCGACGAGAGAAAAAGGAACCGTCACGCGTACTTGGCCCAGCGAGTCCGTATAAAAGGGGATGATTTGTAACCGATCATTGTTCGAGGAACGGGCCAATGACGGGTCGTCTGGAAGCCGGTCCAGTAACTGGCGAAGAGGATACAGGGTGTCAGAGCAACCCTCGTCCCCCCCGTTTGGAACCAGATGCGTCCCGCTGGCTAATGCACCGCGACGGCCTCCCATTATGTTTGTTTATTTATTATTAATAGGAAATTCATAACAATCGCATAATAGGATCCCGGCGTATAATGGCTTTGTCGGGACTGGTTCACGGTCGAGGTGTTCCAGGGCCGACTTTTAAGGGATAATTCTCTCCCGCGCCTCTTAACGAAAAATCGTCCATTGCTCGTCCTTCGGCGTTATTTTCGCGTAGGTTCCGCAGGAAATTAATCGGCCCCGTCGTCGTCGTTTCTCTTCCGCGCTTGACGCCCACGGGGTACATAAATAACCGGCGTTCCCTGGCCCCCTTTCAGCCGGGGGGGGGCGGCTGAATTCGAGATAAAACGCGCGTCCCGGCGTTCCCACTGTCCGCGTGAATCAAAATCGAGCCCCGATAAAGACAGTCGATCACTGGACGTCCGCGTCCACCCCCTCTCTGTGCGTTCGAATTGAAAAGCACGGTTCCATCCGCCTCGAAAGGATTCGACGAAAACGAGCAAAAGCAAACCGAAAAAAGAGAACGTGCCGGAAAAATGGCTAGTATCGAAAAATAACGCTCGAGACCGAGGACCCAGAGCGCGATTTTGCGCGTTTCGTCCCGCTACATCGAACGACCACTTTCACTCTTCCATCGTCGCGTTGATGTGAACTCAAGGGTGCAAATTCCCGCTCGTTCGAAATTCAGGACAGGAAATTAGACGGGCGTCTCCCTCCCATAGAAATACCCGCGAAGCGTGAGAGATACGAGGGAGGTGTACCGAACAACCCCGTTGCACTCCGGTATCGTCCTAACAGCCCTCCTTTACAACCCCCACCCCATCGGTTTCGTCTTCAATCCGACGCGAACGCGTGCATCCTTTCAATGTCGCCGGATAACTCCACGCAATAACAGCTCGTCGATGTTTTTAACACCATCTCGAACCATCCGATCGGTTCAATGATTCATATATTTTCTCCAAAACACCCGGGTAAAATTTTCTATCAAATTCTGGTTAGCAAAGATGAGAGGAGCTTGGGAACAATATAACAACAGTGCTAACAGTAGTTAAACTTTGTGTAGTTTCGAGGCTGTTAGTGTTCTATCCAAAATTTACCCACCATCAGCAGAAGCAAAGACTCCATTTTGGTTTTTCGCGATTCGACTTTCCCTTTCCTAGATAAAAGGTAATTTTTTTTAGAATCTTCGGTTTCCACTGGCTTGGAATAGTCTATCGACGAGTATTAAAAATAGTTGAACTTTAGACCTCTGCAGTCCCGAAACTATTAGTGTTTTGATAATTATTGAGGTATCGTTAGAAGCGGCAAAGCCTCCCCTTTAAAATGGTTTTTGGTTTTTGGGAATCCGACTCTCCGTTCTCGAGATATCGCAATTTATGTAAAGGGGTAATTTTTTTAACAGTTTTTTAGACCTCTCTCTCTCGCGCGTGAGTCGCGAGTTCATTGACCTCGCGCAGATGTAAACAATGAAACGTAAACAAACGGTATCACCTCAACCAGCCACCGCATCGACTTCAGACTAAAATCGCTATATCTTCGGAACTAATTAAGCTATCGACTCGTACAAACGCTCATTTTAAAGGGCATTTCATCCCCTATCCGATGATTGCGCAAACTACTATAATTTATGCTCCCTTCCATGTTTATTTTCACATTTACTTTGACACTACGTACCCCGAAAGTGTTTTAGCAATTCCTATTGATTATATACGACTAGTGCGTGATGAAATTGGATTATTTATGAAACAAAAATTTCACTGGTTAGTTTCCCCTGCTCGGGAGGACTCACTCTCTAATTCCAAATCCTCGGTGACAAGTTTTGACAGGGCGGTACGGTTCATCCGATCTCGGGATTAGGTCAAGAACTCCGCAGGTTGCCACGATTCCCTCTGTTTGGTCGGCCGAGTCACCGTCGTTTCGTCGCCTTTTCCTCTTTCCCCGACAGTTTGCAAACCCAGCAGGTAGATTCGAGGGACTTACCGCCATAAGCCGCGTTCGTGATCGCTGTTTTACACGCGAGCGTTCCTCTCCTCGTCCCTCTAATCCAATTTGCAGAATCCACCGACCCGTTACTTTGTCTCGAAACCACGAGTAACGGTACGTGGACGGTGTCCAGGATTCGCAAATCCTTGTCTCCTACAATGTGAGAAACATTATCAGAGGTCCCTTAACCCTTTTAGAATGATATTCACAAAATTCAAAAAGCAGCATATTACGAAATAAAGAAAGAATAAAGTAATGGCAATTGCGTTTCAATATTTATTGCAAATCGTATAAATAACGTAATTATAAAATATGATAAAAAGCATAGAAACAAGTTTCTCTTCTACAAACAATATTTACACATAAGAATAA